ATTGTTCCTTGTCGAAATTAACAAATCAAGGTAAAAGATATGGTAATGCACCGATATGTCACATTCAAGGTGAAAAAATAAGCTATGTATTATAACTCAACCTGAAGAGTGTTGATCTTTTGAATTTATTTTAGACTACCTCCCAGTAAAGACCACTATGTCAACAAATCTGACTGACAACATCGTTGTTGTGAGTGAAACATTCAGTATCACCTGCAGCGCACAGGCCAACCCACCTGCAAAGTATCGATTCTATGAAGGAAATGAGTATGTAAATGATGCAGACAATGATGCAATGATTACTACTTCAGCTAGTGAAAGAGTAAAAATGGTGAACTACAGCTGCATCCCGTTCAATGTTTATGGTAATGGAACGAAAGGAGAGGTAGCAGTGACGGTGCACTGTAAGTATTTGATAGAGTGAACTCTGTAGCTTTTAAAAAGTCAGTGTTACACAATATTTATACATTGATACATAACCGCCTCCCGGTTAGCTCAATGGATAGAGCGCTGGACTGATGTACAGGAGGTCGAGGGTTCGAGCCCCGGCCGGACCAACACTGAAGGTCTTAAAATAATTGAGAGGAATATGCTGCCTTTCTATAACATCGAGAAATGGTTTAGATATTCTAGTCTTCTCGGATAGGGACGAAAAAATGCAGGTCCCGTTCCCTGCACGGTTAAGGGTAGGAGACGTTAATTTCCCACACACGAGATTACTGTGTAATGGATGTCCTCCCCTGGGTTGGGATGGGTGGATTGTTGTCTTGCGTTTCATTCATGAGCCTCTGGCTCGGGCAATATGGGTAACCATGCCCCACGTAAAGACATTAAACTTTGATTACTTTGATTACTCTGATTACATTTATTAGAAGTTTTTTTAAATAACGTGTGTTTTGACTGGTTGAAACAAGGAGGACGAAAAAATTGACGAAATCAGAAAGTGATCAGAGAAGAAAGAAAAACATTAAACGGACTCTCTGAGTCTTCAAAGGAAAAGGAAATGACTTAACTTTTACGGATTGTTCAGTCAAAATCTGCCGATTTCTGCCTCTTTCACCGCCATATTGAAAATATCGCTAACACAATGTAACGCAATCAGAGTGCACACACCGCCTACTTGGAGTGAAGCAATCCTCAGAGATAGAAACGTCCGCCCTTCCAATTGAACTATTGAGAACTTGCTTCTATGTCAGTTTGTAAGCGTTGAGTGGAAGGCCATTGATTTTACTTCTGACTTCATTTGTCCTCATTTAGTTTTGAGAAATTTTAACTGGAATCGCATCATTGAGTAAAATCTCGCATTCTGATTGGTTAACGAAGCGAGGTAGTCAGCGCGAAACTGCGAGTTGAAAACGAGACTAAGCGAAATTGTTCCGCATCTACGTCACTAAGCACAACAACTATCGTCAAAATTTTTACAAAGTTTGGTTTCTAAGTCAATTTACAATATTTTCAAAACCACTGTCACCTTCAAAAGAGCAAAAACAAACAAAGCGTTTTCAAAGTGAGCCTGAGGTTCTTCCTTGTTTTGAATTGAGCTTCATATTCTTGGAGAAGCATGAAAAACCTCTTTCGCTCGCGACAACCCGAAAGCGAGAAAATCCTGTGAACTCGGCCCAGAAAAACCAATCTCCGAGCTAGCAGGTCACGCCAACCCGGGTTCAATATCCATCTGCAGCCATACTCTTTTAGAAGAACAACAAAGGATGTCAAGGAAGTTGGCTGGGTTTTCAGTCGTACCACTACGACTGTCACAGCTGCCAACGCCAGCGACGGTCCAAGCACTAAAGCTTTGGGACAAATTTATGTCAACAGCCTTTTACTTCCATCAGGAGTTGGCAATAACGCAACATCAATGAATAACGGCATTGATGATTTAGCAGCAAGAGGCTAAGTGGATTGTTCACCAATGTATCGTTCAACAACTCTCCAGTGAATATCTCCATTAACTTTCGGTCGAATGCTCATCCCAACGATTCAGCTAATGGCAGTCGCCTGTAGTGAATTTCTACAAATAAAAAGATTAAAGTGCTTATAACCCCCCAAACGTTTTTGGCCATATTAAATCTCTCTATTGCACTGAGCAAAATGCCGTAAAAATTTTTGTGTTTGGCTAAAACTGCGATTTTTTATGATTTTTTAAAGTCGGGTTTCTTTTTGGAACGACTGAGTGAACCAGAAACTGGGGCTAGTGACGTCATTGCAGGCCATCGGCAGTGGCGCTCCGATCCAATCTCAGTCAATATTACACGTTTCCAACGAGATGAAACTTTCGCTAAAGCCTGATCTGGTAAATTTTTCCCACCTTTCTCTTACTTCGCTCGCTTTCAGCTGATTTCGCTTCCTCAACATTCCACGCGTGAACAGTTGGGTATCCAGTCAACCCGCCGACTGTTCAACTCGCCAACGCCAACTCGCCGACGTATAAAATCGAGTAGAGACGTAGTCGAGTTGGACTTTTCATGAAACACTTCTTTGTTTTTAAAGAAATAAAATATCGATCAATACACGTATTTACACTTCAAGGCACCTACCTTATATTAATCGCGAAGTTATTGCACTTGAAATCAGTACTTTCGCTTGCACACTTCATTTCTCTCAGGTTGCCATCAGAGGTAAACGGTGTAAATTACTTTCCTTCTCAAGCAAATTATTTGAAATTTTGAAAAAAAGATGTTAACGATAAACGGCTTGTAAATACAGTGAAATACCTCTATTATCCTTAAATAGTGTGAAGCTTGTTTAAAAGGTTCGAAAATTAATGTAAAATCAAGCGCGAGGTACAAATAAAATTGTTGAAGGTTAAAACGTACACGACTAACCTTGCTTTCTATTCGCTAACATAATAACACTTCTGACAGTTGGCTTTGAAATGGTTTTCTAGAGCGCGCGCTCGCGGGAGAAAAACAAACAATAATATTGCTGATTTAATTTCTTGTTTTTTTCTTTTCATTCAGTTATGCGATTCAAGGAAAATTCATTACCTGACTCGTAAATTCCGCGTTAAATTGCACTTGAAAACTGATATTGCACTCATCGCTTCGCGATTCGTGCGATATCGGTTTTCGCGTGCAATTTAACGCGGAATTACCTCGTCAGGTAATAAATTTTCCTATAGTTTTCTTCGCTTCAATGTATTAAGGATTTTTGTAAAATAACCCTTTTCCAATAACAGTGACCACTTTGTCTTCTTTTATCATACTGATAAACGCGTAGAAAACTGGATAGGTCTAGCTTCAATTAAGGAACGCATTTTAAATCAGGTTAAAGTTTGAACTTAGCGGATCAAGTTTAATTTGTCACTTTCGAGAGGAGAAGCAAAAAAGTGACGCCTCAACGAACACCTATGTTCATGCTGTTCTGGGCTTCATTTTTTAAAGGAGTCTTGAATTGACTGGATCTCGAGATCGTTGAATGCCTTCTGGCAGGTTCATAAACTTAATCAGATGGAAAAGGCAGTAACTGTGAAACGATAATGATGCTCGCCCTAGAAATTTATCTGATTCCTGTTTCAAGGTCACAAGAACTCCATTCTGGTCTCAGGTGAATGTTTTGCTTTTAGTTGCGTGCGATGATGTTTATCATCTAATTAGTGGGCACAGTGCGATGAAAGTCAGTTGTTGTTATTGTTGTTCTTGTTGTTGTTGTTGTTTTTTTTTTATGGCAGGTTTAAATATCATATGTAGTCCTGCAATCTACCGACACTTGGTGTAAAAACAGAAATCACATTTTTTTCCCCTTAAAATTCTATATTTCTAATTACAACCATAACAGTGAGGATTAAGAAATAAAAGTATTTACCATTTAAACGTGTTTTTATAGCCTCATCTAAACCAGACGAAGTGTGGCCGGATTCGAGAACTTTATGCAATCCCGAGAGGCCGTTGAGAGTATGCATAACCTTAAATGAGACTATTTAAACACGTAAAAAGTCCTCTATTGCTTTTGTAGGATATTTCTCTCAATTGATGCAACAGATGAAGGAAAAAGCTGTTATTTCCTGATTGGCATATGTTTTCTTAATACACGCTCTGAACTTTAGTATTTACTACTAACCAATCAAATCCCATATTTCATAACAAATAAGTCAATCAAAATTCGCGTTATCAAAGTCAAAATTAAGTTGAAATTTGTGGCAAGCAGGCGAGATATATTTGTGTCATCATATATTTTGTATTTTGCTCGACTGGAAATCTTAGATCGTAGGCAGTGATAATAACCGCAGGAAGTAAAACTTGTTAAACATCCTTACCTTTAATGCATAGGTGCTTTGTGTCTTCTAGCTTACCTTTAATGCATAGGTGCTTTGTGTCTTCTAGCTGTTTTCAACGCTTATACATAGAATTTCTTTGGACTGCATGTTGAGCACCAAAGAAAAATAGGGAGGGCAGGTCAGCTCAACCAGTCCTGATTGCCGACTGCCGTCACTCCAAGACCAATTAATTCCACAAAAATTCAACTTATTTCCGTCCAATTGCCACCAGCACGAGCGAATAAAGAATACTTGCTTGTTCGAGTAGCAACAGTTTTCAAATTCTGCTACTTCGGTCCTAGAGACGCTCCGTTTTGTCGATATTTTGGCCTAATTCACTTTTCCTAAAGCCTCGTTACGAACCGCTATACCACTAATATCGAAGCTTTCTGGTCGAATTCACTTACCAGAGAATCGTTGAATTTGTTCAGGCGTAGAGCGAAAAAAAAAAAAAAAGGGTGAATAACGTGAAAACTTAAAAAAAATTCAAAATGTTCAAAGAATTAATATTACCATGATCATTTCTTTATCTTTTTTTTTTCTTTGTCATCAAACAATAGAATGCTAGTTTGCAAAACAACCAGACACTTTCTCACGCTAATTTTTCACAAAAGCAATAAATGAAACAGTTATTCTCTCCCCTGCAGGAGGATAAAATCACAGTCTTGGGACTTCAGTTCTATTAGACCTAAAGTACTGAAAGAAGAAGTAGAGGATAACCTCTATCAATCTGACGATTTTATTCCCATTCTTAGATGCTCCCGCTGGTGCAAAACTCATTACCATTCCCAGAAACACCACAGTGCTTCGCAATAGTCTCTTCACTTTAATATGCCAAGCTGATGCTAGTCCTGAAGCTGAATTTAAATTGTATTTTAATGGTCGCTTCATCAAAATTAGCAGCTCCGGGATATTTCATGTAACTGTGATGTCTGATGGTTCTTACACGTGTGTTCCTATCAATAAAGTTGGCGCAGGAAAGAATGCCAGTGTCATTGTCACGGCTGTCGGTGAGTCTACCTCGATACATCTCTGCAGAAAGAGAATAGTATAGCATTGTTATTTTGTAAGTTACATGGCTAAAATACTTTGCATGCCGATACTTTCACGAAGGAGTTAATTTCTTCTTGATAAAGAAAACTGACCCTGCCTTTTTAAATTTATTCTCATGGGAATGGTGAGATGTGTCACATCTCATTAGATGTTTTCCAATGCAAGTACCAACATAGTCTTTAATTTAAAGCCGTTAAAACTGGCTCGTAAGTGGTCCGTTTCGAGAGCTCAAATTCGATATGCTACTTATTCATACCATTGAAATTGTCAATGTCATGCTTTTCTATCTCATGGAAAAAAATAGAGGCCTTTTGCTGTGGCTATAGGTAGTATGACAATCATAACTTCGCATACAGGTATTCATTTGGAAGTTCATCTCTTATCAGATGCTCCAGTAGTCACAGTTTCACCGGAGGTAAAAACCGTCGACGAGGGGAGCAACTTGAATTTGACATGTGCTACGTTTGGGAAACCGAAACCCAGCATTAAGTGGACTGAGGTTGGCTGTTCTGATGTTCTCTCAAATGCCTTACTACTCACCATTGTGAATGTAACCAGACCTAAGACACCAAACAGCAAAATCCAGTATCAATGCAGAGCTAGCAATGGAGTGGGGACACCTACCATAGCTACAGCCATCATCATAGTGAACTGTAAGTATGCAGGTGAAATAGTTGTTGGTGTGTTTGATATACACTGTGGGTTACTACTTCACATTAAATACTTTTCCCCTGACTGTAAGGGACTCCTTTTAAGGAATATGAGCCTT